TGATTTAAAATTTTTTTAAATTGTGCGTTCATGTACAAATATGGTGATGAACAAATTTTTTACTGGTAAATTTTCTGTCAAAGTGGCATGAACTATATTGTTCAATAATTACAGTAATGTCGCACTTATTATCCAAAAGTCGCACTTGGATCAGTTATTTTAATTACGATAAACGTGCAATCAATTTACAAATTCATGAATCATTCACACAAAAACAAATGCAAAGGTTAATGATTTAATTGGCGAGAAATCCATCGTCGCAAACAATTCAAATAATATACAAAAACCTCCAATACTGGCCATTCCGGTAGGAGAAACAAAGATGGCCGCCTTTATACACGATGGATACAGTGTTGTGCGGCTTCTGATTGGCCAACCTTCTATTGGTAGACTATAAAGGGAAATAAGTCATTTTGACTCGCTCACTAGTTATATGTAATATACACAAAAAACCGTAACATGTTCTTCACTCAACTTTTTGTTCCAGTTTTTCCTTAAAGGATTTTAACCAGAACTAAGTATGTTATACGCATTTTATACGCATTTCTTGTCAAGGTTTTGTTAAAAACAGTAACTGGAAATGTTTGCATAAATCTAAAAGAAGTAAAAAAAAATCCGCCGGCCTGTGGCGGGATTTTTTTTTTTTCGAAACTAGATCTCTGGTTGCTATTTATGTGGTCTCTTAGATCATGTTTAAACTTCCTATAAAGATAAGTGGCTTTGAGTGACCCATGAATGATGTGTGAATTTACAGAAGGAACTGAAAGAAACACTTGAAAAAAACAAACACACCTCTTATTAGCAGGAAGTATAATTGCACGAGGTTTTCGTTCGCTTACGTCCGTAAAAACAGCTTAATTCCTGCAGAAACAAGGATGCTTATAACATTGCTCTGGGGTTCCCAACTAGCGGGGAATTCCATCCGGAGGGGAGGGGTAATTCAGGGTTTCAAGAGGGGAAGGAAATTTAAAAAAAAATTTTTTCTTGGATTTATCTAAAGAATTTTGTTTATTGAATTACAAACCCCTGATATTCTATTGAACTTTTTCTGTATTGAAGCATGCTTCAGTTTATTTATTTAATAAATTATTTATGAATGGTATTTACTTGACACCCACAAAGTCAAGATGTGACACAAGGTCGTTTAACGTGGGAGACCCGAGTGTTTCCACTCAAAGGCCACTGGTCCAAAACTGGTCATAGCTTGTCCAAGCTGGTCAGAGCCTAGTCAAAGCTGGTCATGACTTATCCTAGCAAGTCCAGACCGGAGCCAGTTCAAGCTAGTCGAAGCCTTGATCGAATCTCAGCCATAGGCCAAGAAACGATCCAATATTTGTCAAAAACCCCAACGAAAAAATTCGTCGGGAGAAGTAAATTATTTATGAATTAATACAAATTACTGCACATGTATTCAAGTTTAAAAATCTATCAACATTTTCTATTGCTATCTGTAAAACTCCTCCATAAAAATAGTTCGTTGCGCCAACTGAATGGATTTAAGCGTGCCACTAGTTTGACATCTAGGTCTTACCAATTTACAGTTGAAATAGCTAAATGCAACCGCCATTTCTACTCCAACAGTTTCTTTTCTTGCACTTCCCAACTGTGGAACTCCCTTCCGTTTACTTGCTTGATAACTGCAATCTTCAAAAATTTAATGCCAACGTCAATCGCCATCTTCTATTTTCTTGATTCCCGTTTATCTTTTATCCTTTCCTCAATCCTCCCATATACTCAGTCTTTTCTCCCACTTTCACTCCCTGTAAAGCCCCTGCGTACTAGTGGCGTTCCAGCCTCGCTTTGAGTGAAAATTTTTTTTAAATGTATATGTACTAATATGGAAAAGAATGAAGATTTTCAATATATGTATATTATATAGAATGCACCTTTTGAGTGGGGGTAACATTAATTTCATTGGGCAAAAAAAAAAAGTTCATTTTCATTATATCCCGTTATTAAGTCTAATATCCCCCTTTTTCGTTATTTTTAAAATAACATTTAGGCTTTTATATTTTCAGGAGTTCTCACTGTTATGAGGTACATTCATTAAGACTTAAAATCCTAATTACTTTTGTAAGAACATTTTCGTCGCTATATTCTTCGTATGGATCTATACTATAATTTTTTTTTTGCAAGGGGTTACTAGACGTGAAAGGGTGGCAAAGACTTTAGTGAGGAGAAAGGAAAGCAAGTTCTCCACTGCCTTAACCAGGTATTGAACTCACACTCTTTTGGGTCCTGTAACTGGAGAAGTAGGAGAGGGGAATTAACAGGAGATAACTGATATTCGTTAGACATGGCACGTAGAACTAGAACAGTCTACCCCAGTTTTGCGAAATAAAGGGTTCAGTCTGACATTCCAAACATTTGAAGAAAGCCGGAGCGTACAACGGCCGAAACGTTGTAATAAATATGGCGACAAAGATGAGGACAATAGTCCAAATAATGTAAATAGTGTACATAATACCTAATCTCAGAAATATAGACAGATGCTGAACAGCCGAAACGTTGTAATAAATATGGCGACAAAGATGAGGATAATAGTTCGAATTATGTAAATAGTGTACATAATACTTCATCTCAGAAATATAGACAGATACTGAAAGGCCGAAACGTTGTAATAAATATGGCGACAAAGATGAGGACAATAGTCCGAATTATGTAAATAGTGTACATAATACCTCATCTCAGAAATATAGACAGATAATGAAAGGCCGAAACGTTGTAATAAATATGGCGACAAAGATGAGGACAATAGTCCGAATTATCTAAATAGTGTACATAATACCTCATCTCAGAAATATAGACAGATAATGAAAGGCCGAAACGTTGTAATAAATATGGCGACAAAGATGAGGACAATAGTCCGAATTATGTAAATAGTGTACATAATACCTCATCTCAGAAATATAGACAGATACCAAAGGTCATGTTGCCGGACCCTTTCACTGTCGAAACTGTTAAATGTACTCTACTACTACAAGGGCTTCATATTTCGCACCTCTCGCCTGTGGAACTCCCTTTTCCTGTTTCCCTGGTAGGTATAATCTCCAACTATTCAAATGTAATGTCAATCGATGTCTTGATCTATCCCTTATCCTTCTCTTCATCCTTTCTTCTATCACTCCTATTTGCTCTCGCTCCAACTCTCTGTAACCCCTTGTGTCTTCCCGCCTTGCTTGGGGTGAAACGCTTTAAAAAAATGTAGCTTATTGTCATACACAGGATAGTTCATATTTTAGGAGATCACCGAGCATTCACTGGCATATAGCTTCAGAAACATGGGGTCGTATATACAGTTTATTATTATTATTTTTATTATTATTATTATAGTTTTCCCACCAGTAGTACCTAGTGCAGTAGTACCCAAAATTTTTTCTTTGTGCTGCATTTTCGGCATTAAAATTTTATCGCTCCTCACCAAATTTTATGTGATGAAAATTACATTAAAAAAGAAAAGAAAACAAAAAAAAACAGAGAAAGAGAGTTAAAGGGAGATAACAGAGGAGTCGCAAGATTACTATTGATAACTCTCTCCTCCCATTTGCAGAGCTTAGCTACTGTATTCTTAATATTTGATATAATGCAAAAATATCACAATGATAAAATCAGTCAATAATTATTTATAATTATTTATAATGGGACTCATGCATGCAATTACAAGTAATCCATGATAATATTTTAAATTTGTAAATCATTTTTGATTTTTACATTTGAATTTTCCAAATCTTTGATTGCCTTTCAATCAGTCCGCCTCAGCTGCTATCCTCTTCTGCCTCACCTGCTATCCTCTTCCGGCTCACCTGCTATCATTTTCTGCCTCACCTACTATCCTCTTCCGCCTCACCTGCTATCATTTTCTGCCTCACCTGCTATCCTCTTCTACCGCACCTGCTATCCTCTTCCGTCTCACCTGCTATCCTCTTCCGCCTCACCTGCTATCTTCTTCCGCCTCACCTGCTATCATCTTCTACCGCACATGCTATCCTCATACGCCTCACTTGCTATCCTCTTCTATGCATCTGCTATTCCCTTCCGCTCCACCTGCTATCCTCTTCCGCCTCACCTGCTATCCTCTTCAGTCTCACCGGCTATCCCCTTCCGCCTCACCTGCTATCCTCTTCTACCGCACCTGCTATCCCCTTCCGTCTCACTTGGTATTCTCTTCTTTTTTTTTCTTCCGCCTCACCTCCTATCCTCTTCCGCCTCACCTGTTATCCTCTTCTACTTCACCGTTCGGGAACCTCTGATCTAGTGGCTGACACTGAAGCTTAAACGACGTCTGTTGAATACTCCAACACTCTCTTAAGATTCTAGCTGTTTTCAAAAATGCTGTTTTCAAAAATGCTGTTTTCTGGATGCTACCAATTCTTTCCTTGATTTTCACTTCCTTGATTTTCACTTCCTTGATTTTCAGGGTTATTATTTTGGAACGCCTCATCAGAGTTACTGTGGCAACGCAACAGCTGTGGTCGTTTCTTTCATACGTTTTTTTATTCGATCGATTCGTGATCTCGTTCCGCCGTACGCCTTCATATATCACGTTCTCCTGTGATGTTTGGAAAGGTGGGGGCGAGGTTTTTCTATGGAGCTGTTAATTAAGCAGGTAGACTATGGCATGTGGGGGTGGCGAGTGACAAGTTAACGAGTGGAAGAGTGGGTAAAATCAAAGGAACAGGTTAATTAAAAAGAGTGTGAGAGAAAAAAAAGAGTCGAATAGAAATTGATTAATTTGTTTTTTTACGGCTTATTAACACTTTGTGGGTCATTTAAAGACGAAACATCTTTTAGATTGTAATATATTTTTTGCTAGTGAATATTACATTAACAATTATTTGAGAATAACAATGATTTTTCCGGATACGAGTGCTACTATTTAATCCATAGCTAGGGGGTGATGGAGTTTCACCTTTCCCAAGGGTATTCCCGCGTAAGTGAATATAACAAACCCAACTGAAATTTGAACGCGACTCTCTGATTTTTAATCTGAGCAGCCCCCATTACACTACCGCACACCGAGGAATCGAAAGAGAGAGAGAGAGAGAGAGAGAGAGAGAGAGAGAGAGAGAGAGAGAGAGAGAAACACACGAACCGATAAAATATAGTTTTAAGGTATGCTATATTTATGGGTTAATGTGCTCAATATCAGGGACAGAGCGTATGTAAATATAAAAGTGGACAACATTGAGGCCAACACCCAGTCTGTTTCATGCTTAAAAGCAATCTTCAGGCTATGTGTGTTTTGGCTCGATTATTTATATTTGCTGGACAAAGGTGCATTATGGGTAGGTCTATTGTATGTTCATAACAACTGTAAACACTGTCCGTAGAAGAAAATAGCTATAATTACAACCAGAACTCATCTCAAGATGATTGGAATTTCGCATCGGACCCTTTATTTCCTCCACCGGGGGGGGAGGGGGGTAGATTGTTCTTGTTCCACGTGACATGCCTCTTCCGGATGTCGCAGTTATTTCCATTTAACTCAACTCTCCAAGTTTAATTCACAGTCAAATATCTCCTGAGCCGACAAGCATAGATATGATTACAATATAGGAACAAGTAATAAGAAGTGCTAGAGAAAAGCAAGGAATAACAACAAAAATTGCAATATAAGCACTGGTAAAAAAATGAAATAATAATAATAAAAAACATTGCAATATGAGTATTCATTAGATCCAGTGACTAGACCCAAAGGGTTGTGAGTCTAATATCAGGCCACAAAAGCGGTAAATCAAACGCAGAGTTGACTTAAAGTGAAGAGGCATGGTGCGTGGAACGAGAACAGTCTATATTCGATGGACGAAATAAAGGGTCCGGTTCGAAATCCCAATCACTCGAAGAAGACCGGAGGGTACAAAGGCCGAAACGTTGTGCATATAGCAATGAAGATGAGGATAACAGTCGGAATAATGTAACTAATGCAAGTAATCATAATACCTCATCTCAGAGATATAGAGGCCGAAACGTTGTGAATATGGCAATGAAGATGAGGATAACACTCTGGCCTTCGTCAGGTTCTGTCAATGTTTCGGAGATGAAGTATTTTAACTGTTTGCACTATTTACATTGTTCAGACTGTTGTCCTCATCTTATCATATTCACGACGTTTCAGCCGTTATACGTTTCGGCCTTCTTCAGGTTCTGTCAATGTTTCTGAGATGAGGTATTGTAATTATTTACATTGTTCGGGGTGTTGTCCGCATCTTATCATATTCACGACGTTTCGGCCCTTGTACGCTCCGACATTCATCATGATCTGTCCACATTTTTGAGATGTATTGTAATTATTTACACTATTTACGTTGTTCGGACTGTTGTCCTCATCTTCGTACCATATTCACGACGCTGTACGCTCTGACCTTCTGTATCAGTCTATATTTCTGAGATGAAGTATTGTAATTATTTACATTATTTACATTGTTCGGACTGTTGTCCACATCTTTGTTATCATATTCACGACGTTTCGGCCGTTGTACGCTCTGGCCTTCTTCAGTTTTTGCCAATGTTTCTGAGATGAGGTATTGTAATTATTTACACTATTTACATTGTTCGGAGTCTTTTCCTCATCTTTTTATCATATTCACGACGTTTCGGCGTTCTTCAGGTGATTAGAATTTCGAACCAAACCCTTTATTTGGTCCCGTGGGGGTAGATTGTTCTAGTTCCATGTGCCATGCCTCTTCAGAATATCTCAGTTTCAGTTATTTCTCTTTTAGTTTTCTTCAAGTTTTTGTTCAACTCTACTGTGGCCAAATCACAACACTTTGGGTCAATTCACTGGATTACTTCAATCAACACTTTTATCCACTGAGCCATGTGTCCTTGAAGATATCACGCTTAAGGATAGATAGATAGATAGATAGATAGATAGATAGATAGATAGGAATCCGACAGAAGGATAAGATAAAGAACAAATAGGAACTGTTTAACAATCTGACATTTTTCGTTTTTATTATTAGATTCTCTGATGAGGTTTCAATAAAATTGAAATATGTTCGATTGATAAACATTTCCTACTTGTTTTTTATCCTATCATAGATAGATAAATAGACACATGTGAATACACACAGGTTAATAGATAGATAGATAGATAGATAGATAGATAGATAGATAGATAGATAGATAGAAAAAGACAAAAAAACAACTTAGCTAATGCACTAGTTATACATAGAAATAAATTCAACCACAATTTTGATTTTAAAAATGCTACACTCATAAAAAAAGAAAATAACTCACTTAGAAGGAAAATCCTCGAGAGTGCCGCCATTGAATATTACCCAAATATTAATCTACGCCCAGGCTTTTTTCCTATTTCACCTTTCTTAACATAATTACTACTCTCCCAAACAAACGTACAGAACAGTATCAAGAAATCAAAAGAAAATGGTTGAATCCGTCAACACAGTAATAAAAACAATATCTCCACACGTGACAGTAATTGACGTAATATCGGTTAACAGTATGAAAATAACGTTCTCTAAATCTTTCCAGTTGCTAAGGACATTTTGTTTTGTTATTATTAGTTACTTTGTTTAATAAATTCATTTTTTTTGCCTTGAAAAAGTCTACATTGGAAGAAACGCGTTAGCAACTATTACAGTTTTCCTATTGTCTTTTACATTTATAAATAGATAGATATATTCATCCATGCGTGGAATACTATTCATCTCAAGGTTCTCCACAAAATCCAAAGATTGTTATGCAATCTTTTCTGATCTGGTATCTCGACTACAGTCACTTTCTCACCGGCGTAATGTGGCTTCCCTCTGTCTTTTCTATAAATATTTTTATGGTATCTGACAATCTCTTTTCACTAATGCCCCGACTGCATGAATCTAAATGTGCTACTAGGTTGGCATCTTAGTCCCACCCTTTTACTGTCGAAACAAACGTAGCCACCTCTTCTACTCCAACAGCTTCTTCTTTCGCACTTCCCGACAGTGGAACTCCCTTCCTCTTACTTGCTTCCCTGATATCTATAATCTTCAAAAATTTTAATGTAATGTCAATCGACATCTTTTGTTGTCTTGATCACCGTTCTTCTTTTTATCCTCCTCCGTTCTTCTTTTTATGCATTCCTCAACACCCCCCCATACCTAATCTTTTCCCTTACTTACCCTCTCTGTAGCCCTTCCCGTATTAGTGGCATTCTCACCTTGCTTGGAGTGAATTGCAGAAGATAGATAATTAGATAGATTGAAGTAGATAGATTAGATAGATAGATTCATACATAGATAGATTTGAACAGACTTAGATAGATAGATAGATAGATAGATAGATAGATAGATTTGAACAGACTTAGATAGATAGATAGATAGATAGATAGATAGATAGATAGATTTGAACAGACTTAGATAGATAGATAGATTTGAACAGACTTAGATATTGAACAGAGATAGATGGATGTGAACAGGCTGAGATAGATAGATAGATAGATAGATAGATAGATAGATAGATAGATAGATATGAACAGACTGAGATAGATAGATAGATAGATAGTGTTGTGGTAGGATCCACCTAATTTGCATAGTGGAGTACCGACCATATAAATATGGTTGGTACCGGGAAGAGAGGGGGAGGAATCAAGAGATTCAATACAGAGACTCTGCCCGACTGCGATTAAGTCAACACATTCTCCAGGAACGGTCTTCCCAGGAATATACAAAAGACTATATTTAAATATTGTATACACTTTCTTGTTGCAATACATTTTGTTCTAAGTACATTTTGTGTCGCATTATTATTCCATGCATTAGTCAAGTTTCAACAGATAGATAGATAGATAGATAGATAGATAGATAGATAGATAGATAGATTTGAACAAACTTGAAATAGATAGATATGAACAGACTTAAGATAGATAGATAGATAGATATTAACAGTCTGAGATAGATAGATAGATAGATAGATAGAGAGAAAGAGAGAGGGGGGAGAGCGAGAGCGAGAGAGAGAGAGAGAGAGAAAAGAACGGAGAAATAAAATGAAGAAAAGTAATAGACGAAAAACAAAAGTATCCTAGTTTTATTTCAAGAACAAAGAAACGAAATAAACAAAGTGTGTGGAAAAGAACGCGTTTTTAACTCTTGAAAATCAATTTTTATTTATTTATTCCCTTGAGCCCTTTCAGCGTGTAACAATCGACCTAACAATTGGGCTTTGCCTGTCTTTTTTTGCTCGCCTGATCCAGCAACCAACTAATCATGTCACTTGCCCGGCTGAACCAACAGATGCTGCATAACTCCATTCGACATACACAATGCATATTTCTTTCTTTCGTTTGGCTGGGTCATGACCTTTAGTTGTTGGGACGTCGCACATGTCGGTCTTACTAAGGTGATCCGCTCCAAAATAAGATTCATCTAAACCGCCGCACACTCGTGTATCCCGTGATCCTCTTAAATATAACCGCGAAATATTGTCACGGTATACATATATATCTGTACGTGTAGGTAGTAATGGTACGTCGTTATTAGTTGAATAAATGATTAACATTACATTATTCGGACTATTGTCCGAATAATGTAAATAGTGTACATAATAGCTCATCTCAGAAATATAGACAGATACTGAAAGGCCGAAATGTTATAATAAATATGGCGACAAAGAAGTGGACAATAGTCCGAATAATGTAAATAATGTACATAATGCCTCATCTCCGAAAAATAGACAGATACTGAAAGGCCGAAATGTTATAATAAATATGGCGCCAAAGATGAGGACAATAGTCTGAATAATGTAAATAGTGTAGATAATACCTCATCTCAGAAATATAGACAGATACTGAAAACCGAAACGTTCTAATAAATATGGCGACAAAGATGAGGACAATAGTCCGAATAATGTAAATAATGTACATAATACCTCATCTCCGAAAAATAGACAGATACTGAAAGGCCGAAACGTTCTAATAAATATGGCGACAAAGATGAGGACAATAGTCCGAGTAATGTAAATAGTGTACATAATACCTCATCTCAGAAATATAGACAGATACTGAAAACCGAAACGTTCTAATAAATATGGCGACAAAGAAGTGGACAATAGTCCGAATAATGTAAATAATGTACATAATGCCTCATCTCCGAAAAATAGACAGATACTGAAAGGCCGAAACGTTCTAATAAATATGGCGACAAAGATGAGGACAATAGTACGAATAATGTAAATAGTGAACATAATACCTCATCTCAGAAATATAGACAGATACTGAAAGGCCGAAACGTTGTAATAAATATGGCAATAAAGATGAGGACAATAGTCTGGATAATGTAAATAGTGTACATAATACCTCATCTCAGAAATATAGATAGATTATAAATGATTAAGTATTAAATTTTTTTTCTCAGTCAGTTACGTGCTATGCGTGATACATGCTTAGGCGATCATGTATCTTTCGATACATGACTGACGAGGCAGATGTTTTTTTCCCCGCAGTAGGTTTCTATTTCTTTATGCAGTAGACCAGTTGCTATCAAAGGCTATAGAAACTGTCCCATAACTGGGGGTGGGAGAGAGAGAAGAAGAGGATTCATACCTTTCTCAAGGATAATAGCACGAAATTCAATGTAATGGCTTCGACTGGAATTCGAACTCGGCTCTCCGATTCCTCAATCCGAGCTGCCCCTTAAAGGCTTTATCAGTTTTATTGCAATTTTCTGCTTCTTATTTATGTGAATTAGGTTTCTCAACCCTAGAAAACATCAAAAATAAGAATCGAGAAAGACTACTCTTGACTAAAAAATGAGGGCCTGCTTCTCGCACATTCGACCAAACATTGAAGAAATCGCGAATAAAACACCAGCCACAGGTTTCACACTAAATTAGCTGCACAAACAGTTGAATAGAAACATTGAAATTAAGTAAGTTCATATTTGTGTTTATATTTTTAAAGACATTTTTAAGTTTATACATTCTTTTTTATAGATACAAATATTTAAGTAAATGCTCTCTGTTTTATAATAAACAGTATTTATAACATTTACCGGCCTGAATGTCCGAGAAATATTCATAGAAAATATTCGTCCTCCGACCGGTATCGAACCTGTATCCTATACGGAACCGTCATATAGCCTGATGTGCCTTAACCGATTTGGCCACAGAGGAGCGTTCGGTTAGCAAGGTCGATTTTACTGTCTTTAAACTTTAATCTTCCATGAATCTCTTACGTGCATTCATATCTGCTCATGGCGTATCAAATGTAAACAAATGACGTCACAAATCATGAAATGGACAAAGTCCGACAATTATTTTAAGACATTTTTATGTTTATACATTCTTTTTATAGATACAAATATTTAAGTAAATGCTCTGTTTTATAATAAACAGTATTAACAACATTTACTGGCCTGAATGTCCGAGAAATTTTAATAGAAAATATACGTCCTTCGAATTTTTCTATCACAATTTATATATATATATATATATATATATATATAATTGTCGGACTTTGTCCATTTCATATATATATATATATATATATATATATATATATATATATATATATATATATATATATATATATTAAATCTATGGTTTTATTTCATCATATTTTAACGTATACCCTTTAAATATGTTGCTACATATGACATGATATTTTTCAGTTGCTCGAAGGTGAGAAACACGAATCTAAATGGTTCAATTGCAAGTAAACTGTCAAAATACCTGGCAGGTAAACCCAAAGTCTGAGTTTAGATTAATTCTTTATATGTGCCAAATCTTATCAGGACATAGGCGGCCATAACTCTCTGTAACAGGCTGTCGTTTTATGCCCTTTACAGCTCAATGGTGAAAAGATTGGCCGATAACATTCAATATATCTCAAACTAGACATTTCAACACCACGAAGCAGACTTCAAACCTGTTCCTATCCTGATGTGTTGTCATACTCTCAAAGAGGTTCCGTGCCTTGAACGCGTACTGGGCGTAAAGCTGACCCCTGATCAAAAATAGAACAAGTATATTTGTGCTACCACAAAAGATGCTGGAAAAATGGTTCGTCCCTTGTATCAGTCCAGAAAATACCTAACCGCTGCCACGCCCTATCTTTATAAGCCTCAAATCAGACTAAGAATGAAGTACTACTGTCATATGTGGACTGGTGCCGCCCAGTCCTCATTGTCAAGCCTCTCGCTACTCTATCGCTATTTCCATGGCAAATGTTCAATCGAGCTACATTCCTTAGTTCCACCAGTTCAGACCTTTATAGCTAAGCCTTTCCCTACACTATCGCTATTTCCATGGCAAATGTTCAGTCGAGTTACATTCCTTAATTCTACCAGTTCAGACCTTTAGAGGTAAGCCTCTCTCTACTCTATAGCTATTTCCATGGCAAATGTTCAATAGAGCTACATTCCTTAGTTCCACCAGTTCAGACCTTTATAGCTAAGCCTCTCGCTACTCTATCGCTATTTCCATGGCAAATGTTCAATCGAGCTACATTCATTAGTTCCACCAGTTCAGACCTTTAGAGGTAAGCCTCTCGCTACTCTATCGCTATTTCCATGGCAAATGTTTAATCAAGATACATTCCTTAGTTCCACCAGTTCAGACCTTCACAGTTGGGACTCGCTATGCCGCGTACACAACATTAACTCATCCCAATTCCCTTCTTCTTCCATTAGTAAGGAGGAAGTTCTATCCAGCTTCTTCTTCAGAAATGCTATTTTGTGACACAGACTCCCGAGAGAATACTTCCTGGACCATTACAATCTTAACCTTTTCAATGGTCCCTTTTTCTAAGAAGTGACCACTTAAAAGTAAACTGTCTTTACAAGATTCAAATCCGACCAATCATATCGCGGTTAGCGCTGCCTCGTTCTCACTGTCAAGCCATTCGCTAGGCTAATCAATACTGCTTAATAGAGCAGTTACTTAAATGCTGCTTAATAGAGCAGTTACTTAAATAAGTGCATCCATAAAAATAACGAATAAACAGAAAATACATTAAATATTTGTCGGATTTAATCCATTTCCTTTGACACAAATACACAAACACGCACACACATATATATATATTAATATATTTTCTGTTTATACGTTATTTTTATAGATATAAATATTTAAGTAAACGCTCTAAATAACAGTATTAACTACATTTACCGGCCTAAAAATATATTAAAATAATTGTCGGACTTACTCTATTTCACAATATAAATATATATATATATAAAAGTGAACATAGAAGTCAACACTTAGAGGCGACAGTCTGTTTCATGCTATATGCAATCGTTAGGCCTGACAATTGCATATAGCATGAAACAGACTGTCGCCTCTAAGGGTTGACTTCAGTATTCACTTTTATATTTACACACGCTCTATCTCTGATATTGAGCACTTTATCCCATAAATATAGCATACCTTAATACTATATTTCTTCATATATATATATATATATATATATATATATATATATATATATAGAGAGAGAGAGAGAGAGAGAGAGATGATGACAAAATTATTTATTTCAAATTGACTATGTTATGCGAAAGGTGCTGAATACCAAGGAGACAGTGTTTACAGGTACAGTGTGGACATAATAATCAACAGTACATGGCGACTGTCAGTTTCGAAACTCAAATGAGTTCTGAAATGTCTTAAGCGACCATCAGACTAAATATATATATATATATATATATATATATATATATATATATATATATATATATAGATAGATAGATAGATAGATAGATACACCTAGTGAGCCAGACAAACCTACCTAGGTTTCACCTAAACGGATCGTCAGGGAAAGTACCTACTTTCCCTGACGATCCGTTTAGATGAAACCTAGGTAGGTTTGTCTGGCTCACTAGGTGTATCTAGGTCTGCTCTACGGTTGTATTGAGCTCTTTTGTTAGTTAGTTGTTACTCGTATCGGGGTTTTTTCTTTGTGCTTCAGACCTGTATCTGTGCGATTTTTTAGTCGTCAGAAGTTCATGTTTGTAGCTCTTTCTTTTTTTAAAACCTTTTTTTCCCTCGAGATTGATTTGATTATTAGCAAATCAAAAATTGAGGGTTTTTCAAAACGAGTCTAGTTATCTATAATATATATATATATATATATATATATATATATATATATATATATATATATATATATATGGTCTGATGGTCGCTTAAGATATTTCTCTCTATATATATATGTGTGCGTATGTGTCTGTGTGTGTGTGCGTGCGCATTATCATTTTATATGTACATACATACCTACATATACCTATTTTTACTACTTACTTTGCCGTGTATATTTACGTCATTGTAATTTTTAGATTTTCACTATTCACTTCCCAACCTCGAT